CAAGACCTTTAAAGGCTCCTCAATTTCCTTACATAGTGTGGGTGGAGGAGACAGTCATGAAAGTTCCTCCTGTACACTAACAGAGGCACTTGAATCCTGCAGCTTTCTAAGTCCTACCTTGTAGTGGTTTCTCATCAGGCTTAGAAAGTGCTGCCACTTTGATGAGGCTAACAATCCCATTGGCCACACAGCATGCCTGCTCTGTGTTCACACTGTAAGTGCACCCAACTCTCTGGGGATTATCCCATTATGTACTGGGAATGTTTGTTACCTGGTACCAGGCTAACCCAGGAGGGGCAAGAGATGAGTTCAGGTTCAAAGATTCATTTGGGATAATCCAGAGCCTAAAACCTGCTCAGATGGCAACAGGAGCTGAGAACTGAACAAAACAAAAAACATCCTGAAGGATCACAAGGCTCTGTGATTTCAAGACTCTGGAACAAGATTCTTAGCTTTGGTTTATAGAATCTCAAGTTGAAAGATATCCCGGCACATTTATTACAAGCAGTTGGTAATCTTTCCAGTATCAGAGTCTACTTTTTTGATATAATTGTATTTATTTGTTTATTATTTGAGAATTTCATACATACATACAATGTATTTCAGTTACATCCACCCTCAATCCCCTCCAGCTTTGCTCTGACCCCCACCCTCATGTCCCTCTCTGAATCTCATGTTCTCTTTTTTGGTTTTAAAATGTCCCACGAGGTCAAATCAGTGCTGTCCACATACACACACGAATGTGAAGCCATCCACTAGAGTGTAGTTGACTGACCAGAGACTATGCCCCTAATGAAAAGACACTCCTGCCCCAGCAGCCATCAATCATCAATAGTTGTTCAGCTAGTGGTCAGGGCTCTTGTGCCCCTTCCCAATCAAACGTCTTCTGGACATGATAGGACCCCTGCACTTGTGAATTCACAGTAGCTGTGATTGCCTGCACAAGACCTGCACGAGATCAACCAGTCAACATTCCAGCACTGGGGTGGGGGTGGGGTTACTATTCTTTTTTTTTAAAATTAAGTTTTAGATACTGGTGGAAACTTCAGAAGGATGTTGAACATAAGGCCTCCCAACCTTTCTTAATGTCTGCTTGGTCAGCACTCTCGGGCTGGCTTTCCTCCTACTCACTTTCAGAGGCCCCAAGAAGGCATAATTTTCTCATCACTTTATGAACACAGGAAGCCCTAACTCCTAACACACTAATAACTTCAGAAACGCTCAGAAATCTCAGCTAAAGTCAACTCTTCAAATTTTCAACACAACTTGATCTGAAATGTTTTCCTTATTTTGAAGCCCAGTAGTTTAAGGTAGAGAAGAGGAAGATACATGTGTTCTCTTTCCCTTACAAAGGACTGGGGGGCAGAACAAGAGGAGAGGTCAGGTAGCATCCAAGCAGGCTTGAAGGGCCTGTAGGAGGCCATCTTTGCTATCCTACACTGCACTGAGATGCCACAGAAGTCCTGGTGATAGGCATAGGCTCCTGAATCAGACTACCCATGTGCAAAGCCTTTACCAAGAATGTGACCTTGGGCCAATGAGGTGCTATATTCCTTAGTTCCCTGATCTATAAAATACAGGTGATAACAGCACCTGCCTGATAAAGGATAGATGAAGTGGATAAATTGACACAGGTAAACAGGATAGTGTTTGGAGCCCAGAATGTGCCATCTTGTATACTGGTTGATGTTATGTTACCATCTACAAGTGGTAGAGAATTACATGATTTTAGACCTTAGTCTCTCAGAAGTGGGAGTCAACTTTGCCACAGACAAAATGCTGCAGTGATAAGAAGCTGAGCCTAATACCTCACTTTACAGAAGGAACAATCCAGAGAGTTGGAGAAAGAGCCTGACTACTGCTGTAGTGTAAGATGTGGGGGTGGAGGGACTTGCAGAATAAAATTGGGCTCACAACTGCTATAACATATCACTGAGTCAGTGTGCCCGGATACCTCACTATCATGTTTAGTTTGGTTACTTATTTAAATTGTTATCAGACTTAATTTTTTACATGATCTGGTTAATCAAGGCAAACAATTTAAGGTGGCCAAGGTTTAATAGTTGTTATTAAACTCTTATTAATATATAACTACTCACATGTATGTAGATGGATTTTCTAGACCATGGATAAAGTGGAAAAAATCCCCAACTAACATTCATCCTTTCTTTTGATAGACATCTGTAAGGTATTCAACTGTAAGGTATGCAAGCACCCATTATTTTTTAACTGTACCACACACATCTGGAAGGTTCCCTGAATCAAGGCAGCATGGAGTGGAATGAGAGCTGCTCCTACTAGGATTCAGGAGATGTGGGGGACACTGAACGCTTCTTTCAACCACATATGACATTTGTCTTGTCATTTGAGTCCTACAGACATTCTCTTGGTGGCTGATTACACCCAAAGAAAACAAAGTAACTCAGTAATGGCAGAATAATTTCTTTAACACTGGTCTTGCTAGGACCTCAGCAGAGGAAAGGAAACTTTTATCCATAAAAATGATCCTGTTAAGTAGTAAATCAGATCATGCTTCTTGGCTGAAGATGCTGTGGTGGTTTTCAACACGGCTGCTGAATAAAGGCCTGAAATTTGCCCAGTAGATACAAACTATGTAGACTAGCCTCTGTCAGCATTCGTGTCCTGGCCTGTAACCGTCTGGCTGCTGTGGCCTTGGAGCACCTTTCCCCTTTGTTCCTCTTCCCTTCATCCCTCTCTTTCTCAGTCAGTTCCGAGCAGTGTTCTTGCTGCAGACTTCATCTATGATGTGCATGTCCTACCTTTCAGGGATAGTACAGGTTACCTCCTCTGCCCAGGTGTCCATGCAGCTAATTCTTACCCCTGGCCAGTCTTCGCTTGGTTCTCATCTTCCCAGTAAGACCCTGTTTAGTTACTCTGCCATGTCCCACAACACTGGCTCTCCACAACACTGACTCTGATATGTTATAGCAGTTGTGAGCCCAATTTTATTCTGCAAGGCAGATCCTGGTTTTCTTTTCTTCCTCTTGTTGATTACACTCTAACATACTGTGTGATTTTCTCATTGTGCTTCTCATTCACTGCCTCCTCCCCATCAAAAGGTGAGTTCTAGGCAGCAGAGCACTTTGTCTGTTATGTTCTCAGATGCATCTCCAGTGTCGGCCACACAGAGGGACCCAAAAGACACTTGTTGAGGGGTAGGTGAGCACCTTGGGAAAACATCAGGATGACAACCTCAAGTGAGATTCTGTTTGCCTGAGAAATGAATGGTCTCCTTTTGAAGAACCTCTTTCCCTTTCCAGAGCACACCTGGTGCACCTCTGTCTTGCTATCAGAACACCTCCCTCCTTTGTCCTCCATAGGATTTGGTGCTTTCCTTTGGACATGGGGCAAGGAAGGCTGAGGTATAAAGCCCCACAGCCACTGCCTTGTTGTAGCTCTTGGGTAGTGTCTGAGCAGAGCTTTTTGTACACTCCCTGTCCAGGAAGAGGGTGTGGTGCTCTCCATTCTAACTCTTACAGTAACTGACAGTTGCTAGTCTCTCTGTAGGAACAGGGCCCACATATCTCCAAAGCTGGGGGTCTGGGTAGGGATCATTCAGCTGTATAGCTGGAATGTCTACAGCAGCCACAGAGATAGGCTGAGGATCCGGGCTCTGGCCTCCCACGCCTGTTAGCACCTTTACTACAAGTGGGTGGGGGAAAAGTCAAGGCAGCTGGCAGTCTCGCTCATCTGAGCTCCAGTGAAGGAGAGAGTGAAATCAGGGGTGAAACTCAGGGAGCATTTCTTGCACTTCCTCTCTCCCTGCTATTTCTAACTCCATTAACTGCTAATATAGGAGATGGCTACAAATAGGGGTCATGAAGGAAGATGAGAGGAATAAGGCAGTTCATAAAGAGGGAAGACTTTGTTTTGTCTTGCCGACCAACTCCTAGTCCATGATCTCATTTCTAAAGACCCACAGTTGTAATAGTCCATAATTACTTAATCATTCTAGCTCTGCTGCTTTTACTCAGCTTTCAGGGCCAGATAAACATGTTGTTTATTAAGGAGATAACCTAAGTTCACAAACAAACAAATAAACAAACAAAAAACAAACCACAAAACAATTTGAGCATTTCTTAATAGTAATTCCTCTCGTAACAACGTTGCATGAAAGGAAGAAAAAGTATTGCAATAGAAGAAAATGGTTCCTTTTCCAGGACTGTTTAGAAACTCAAAACTTCATCTTTCAGCATCTTTTGGTTTTTGCACTTTGAACCAATGTGGGAACACACTTGGCAATGCTCAACTGGCATGCAGCCTGCCATGGAACCTTGGTGCAACCTGAACCCTTCTGAGTATAGAGATGACTTGTGACCAGGGTAGAAACCCTCTTTTTGCTGAGGTTGGGGTAGGGATTTACACTTCCTCTGTGTGCTTCAGGCAGAACAGGAGCAGCTGAGCCCGGGGATATGTGGAGTAGGGACAGGTCAAGATGTAGAGAAAGCAAGAGTGAGTACAAGATACAAGAGGTGGCAGATGGTTAAAAGGTCCAGTGAAATGGCACTTAGCACCTAAAAGGAAGGTGCGTTTACAGGAACTTAGGCAACTAGGTCTCACAACTGTAGGGGAAACACAGGCGTGGCCAGTCAGGGTCATGGCTGCAAAGACAGTGAGATCCTCTCATGCACACCACAAAACTGCCTTATAGCCAAGTGAGACAGCAGGATTGAGAGCTAGCCCCTAACTTTCCTAATAAAAATGTTGACACAGGGAGAAAATTAGAAGTGATTGATCTTAAACTCAACAATACATCTTAAAGTTGGGATGCAATTTCGGGATTTCAGCTAAAAAGTCACTGGACGTAAAATAAAATAATAAAATACTACTGATAATATTAAAGTAAAAATACTAGCTATAATATAAAAATACAGAAAGCATACATAGACAAATGACAAAAAACAAATATGCCTTTGTACTAAAAGGGAAAAAAATGAACAAGCAAAACAATAACAAATTCCAATCGTTGTAATACCTACCTTGTAGTGAGGACTGTAAGTCTTTCATATTTTGGTCTAAAAGCTGTGAGGGAAGGAATCCAGAGCTTATCTGGGGTTTGGGGTCTGGCTCTCCCAGGCCCCCTATTAGGGCTGGCTCCTTCAGCCGTTCATCTCCAAACACTGCGGCCCACTCTCTGCTGAACTCGCCCTCGTCCAGAGATGAAGCATTGAAGATCTCATTCAACAGCAGGAGGTCATCCTTGTCCCCTTCAGGTTCTGGGGTCTCTGCCATGGGGCCCAGGCAAGCTGGTGGAGGCAACAGAGTACAGAGCACATGACTTCTGAGGACTTGAACCTCAGGAACAGCTGTCATGGGGCTGTAGTAGAACAGATTGAGCGAAGGCTAGATTTGAGGAAAAGTTAACCCAAATAGAAATTTATCTCATGACACCCTTATTAACAGATTTCAGAAAAAAATTTCTAATTCCATGTTCCCTTACCCTCTTCCTCTAAAGCAAGCTCTGTTTCTGAACATTATTTGAATTGAGGGGGCTGGAGAGATAGTTCAGTGGTTAAGAGTTCTTACTGCTTGTGCAGACGATCCAGGTTCCATCTCCAGAACCCACATCAGATAGCTAACATCCACCTATAAGTCTAGTTCCAGGGGATCCAATGCCCTCATAGGGGACCTGGCCTCTAAGGACACTTGTGGGCATGTGGTGCACATAACTCATGCAGGCACGTGCACACAGACACACACACACACACGCACACACACACACACGCGCGCGCACACACACACACAAATAAATATTAAAAAAAGAATCAAATTGAAATATTTTCCACAAAAATCCTAGGGTTTGGGTTTTTCTTTAACATGAAAACAGATCTGACAAAACATTTCTCAGGTCTGAAACAAAAGCCAGGATTGAAAGCTGTTGGTGAGTTTAGTTCCTTGCTTGCAAAGCTTCCCAAGTCTTCCCACACAAGCCCTCAGTCCACATTGTCTGGGCTCCAGCAGCAAACATACCATGTGGTGGCCTGTCTTGCCACCCAAGCTGGGGAGAGAAGCTCAGCATGCCTTGGCCTGGGGGAGCATGTCAGAAGGCGCAGCAACGCCCAAGACATACATGCCTGCTGCAACCAGCTGCAGGAGGCAAAGGAAAGGTGAATTTGGCTTGTCTGAGAACAGCAGTCAGAGAGGAATAGGGAAGGAGGGTTAAGTCAAGGTCTGACAGAGAGAGTGTCAAGAATCCCAGACTCAGTACTGGTAGTGGACATGAGCCCCAGACCTGAGGGAAGCCCAACTTTAGCACGACTGTCACCCTCTGAGGCTCTGTCTGGTCATCTCTGAAGTTACATCACTGGTGATACCCACCTTGGAATGTTATTAGGAAGACTGACAGAATACACCTTCAAACTCCGTCTGTCCATAAGGTTTTAAAGAGAATTGCTCTCAAATATGAAAGCTGAGAAAACACTGAATATTATCCCCATTACAAAGAGAATGGGGATGTGACTCTCAGAAATCCTATGGCAAGCCCTTTCATTGAGTTTTTTTACCTACTTTAAGAATCAAGGACCCGATAGATGTATTAACCGTGGCTTTGTTGTGGTATCTTAACTGCCACTTGCAAACTGCAAACCATTTTTATTGTAAGCCATGAAGCAAAGAAAAATATCATGCTCTTATTTTTTTTTGTGAGCTACATTGCAATTCTGATAATCACAGTAAATAAGATTATCAGGTTTCCCTCAAATATATCCATCTATGTGATAATTAGTAGTAAAGGTTATTGTTGTTTTAAATAAAGCCTCTCTGTGTTCAGTTTGCTGGATCTATTTTCACCCACATGTTAAAGATCTAAAGATTAAGGGGATTTTTGATGTGCTGAGCAGACTGGCTATCAATCAAGGAGGGGAAAAGTCTAGGAACTTATATCACTGTGGTTTTAAAAGAGTCGCAAAACATCACTTAACTGTCTAATTTAAGCACTTTTATTGTTTATATTATAAAAAAAAATCTCAACCAGACATAGCCCGTAGGGGTAGTAGGTAAAAAGACAGGGAAGTGGTGTTGTAAACAGGGTTCTCAGTAGGAACCATCCAGAGCTGTTGGGTGTAGGGAAGGCAGAGCTGATGGAGCAGAGCAGGCAATGGACCTGAATGCATGTAGAAGCTGCGGGACAGCACTCTCAGTGTTCCAGGCTTGCCCCTCAACACGTGACTACTTATGGATTTTCTTCAGTCTCTCTCAGCGTCACCCTCTTAACCTATGCCAACTTTTCTAATCTCTATACTTCCTGCTGTTTGGTGAGACTGGGATGCCCAATCTCTCTCCTGGCTTATTTCTAGTGTGTATGAAACATGTGATTATTGAGCCAAACCCATTTAAGTGGCACCAGTTCAACCATATAGACCCCGGAGGACAGATGACCTTACGTGAGTCTTAGAAGCAAGGGGTATGCCTTCTGTAGTCATCGTACTCAGATTTATGCAAAAACAAGCCCCGGGGAAGTGTTGTGGTGATAGGGTTGGCCATCCAGCAAAGATCATCATGAACATCAGACCATAAACTTAAAGAGTCCTCTAAAAATAAATAGACTGTTAAACCTCTATTCTCATGTTTATTGTTTGGGCTTTATGCCATGGGTGTTCAGAGTAGACCTCAATGCTTTTTTGCTGAGTTAGTATCTCTTTCCTTTTCTTCAGTTGTTCTTTCTTGGGAAGCACCTTCTCCTTCTGATCTTGGTGACATGTCTCTTAGGAGACACCTCATCACCTTCCGATCCAGGTGGGTATGTGGTTCAGTAGGCCAGAGTTCTCCATCTCTCAGGTCACAGTGACTGACTCAGGGAAGAGCACATGCTGGAGGCTTCCCTGAATTTGTATATGAAAACTGGAAGGAAGAAGACCTCTCTTTCTTTGGGATTCTAGGATGCAAATATGCAAATTTGAGGCTTTTAGTGACAATAAAGCTAACACATAGAAACAACCTAAAGAGCTCTAAAGAGAATTTTGACAGCATTAGGCCTGCCCTCAGATCCAGTCTTGCTTTGAACCAATCTACTGCTGTGAATCCTCAATTACATGGATCAATACATTTTGTGCAAAATTCTAAACCTAACCTATTCAAGACAGGCTTCTGTGCTTATAATCATAAGCATCCTTTTCTGTAACATTTTAGTCACAGAAATGAGAAAAGGATCCATGGTAAGGAAGATCCCATCCAGAGTCAGTTATGGATATGGACTTTGCCTATACTGAAGCCCACCCCTGAGTCTCGTCTGTGATTTAGCTTCCTAGTTATTTAGTAGTTAAAGCAGGCTGCACAGCAAAGACATGCTCTTTTAAGACAACTTATTACCTAGCTAAAAGCAATGAAACTGGCACTGACTTGAACCATAAAACACAGAAACCTCCCAATTATTGCACTGATAATTAAGATGCCTGAAATTACTATACATAACTTGGAAGAAAAACTTAATTACAAGTCGAAAAGGACAGGTTCAGGTCTGCAACTCGACAAGTCAAGACTGAGAAACATCATTTGTCAGTAGGCTCTTGAGAACCAGATCATGTTATCATTTTCTTTGAAAGTAGTTCAATCCCATAAGAGAAAATGAAGACTCATAGGGGACGTGATAAGCTCCTTGAGAGAAGCCTGGTCAGAGCTTCTACCTACAGAGACAAGGAGAGGGTCTTGGAATCAAGAACCCGATAGATAGGGTCCCCTGGGCCATGCGCAGCATCTTAACAAAGGCTGTGGAATACTCAGGCATCAGCCCCACAGACATGACTCAGAGTCCCTTTCATTCTCTAGAAGGTTCCATGTTTACTTTCATATTAGATAACCCAACCACAGACATTGTTATAACAATAAAAGCTAACAACATGACACATTCCAGTTCTCACCTCCTACTCCATAACCTTCCCACATTGCCTCTTCCTTTCTGATTTAGCCCTCTCCGTGTCCTCCCCTTTCTTCTAGCAGTTTCCTCTGTTTCCACCATTATTCAACTCTAGCATCTTTAGTCTTGTCTTCTCCAGTGCTTCCTTCCTCTGGCCTCAGGAGACATGCGCACATGCCAACAACATTTTCTTCACTTCATTCTGCTGTCTGGTGATAGGAGAGGGTCAGTTCCAGCTCCCTCTTCGAAGATCTCAACCTCAGTGGCATTTGTACTGTTACCCACTCTGGGAATGCTGTCATCTCCTGGGGTCTCTATGCAGTAGCTCTCTTGGATGGCCTTCTAGATCCTTTTTAGCTACCTCTTCTTACCCTGGCCAACCTTGGGGTTTCATCCCTAATCATCCCACTTCTCTTTCCTGCAGTCTATGTCAAGGAACTTTTCTATTATCACAGCTCCAGTCGCACCTCAGAACATCTCCAAATCTCTATCTTCAATTACAAGTTCTTGAACTCTGACCACAAATTCCTATCTGAGGACCCTTCACGGTGCATCCATTGGTGAGGTAGCTGCAACTTCATGAGGTGACCTCTTACTATGCACTTTGGTTCAACCTACCTAAGAGATCATTCCTTTATTTAAAAACTTTCAGTGGCTTCTCCTGATGACCAGGTCAAGTAGCTCTCTCAGTGGTGGCATGTAGGATTGCCACATGCCCAGTCACCTATCAATGCTGCCTCCTGGGAGCCCATGATTCAGTCAAGGTGCCCTGTTTGGCATTGCTGAAACATGTTTTCCTGCCTTCTTGCTGAGGAACCTGCTATTTTCTCTCAATGAGAAGAACCATACTTTTTCTTTTCTGAAACCAAAAGAGATTCTAGGGATTATTTCCTCTAACTCATTTTACAGATGATGAAAAAAATCCAGGTTAGATCACTCAATCAAGGTCATGCAACTTACTACAAACAGTCTGACTAGAGATCTTTGTCTCACAGTTCAAGATGTTTTCTCAATCTGGAACCTTGCCTTTATGTAGGGTTTTATATATAAGCTGATATAAAAGCCATTAAAGAACTTACATTCAGACTTATACAGAAGCTTTTGTGAAGTGGTGAGGCTTTCTAAGGCCAGAGGGCTCTGTTGGCAGTGAGGTACCATAAGGCACAGAGGCAGAATGGCCAAGATGGCAGATCTACATGCCTGTCCTGCCCAAAGCTCAGAAATAAGACACTTGTGGCCTTGGGAAAACATTCCCCAGAAGAACTGATCCTGAACCAATGAGTTCTATCTTGTGAAAACTCATATGCAGAGAAAATTCTCAAGTTCAGACAGACTGTGGAAAACCAGTGTCAGCTCGTTCAGGTAGTACTTTTGAAATCACACTGAGTTTCATGA